ATTCCTTTTCCAGCTGAATTCCAGCCGCTCCCGCCCATCCTGCGCTGCCGGAATTCCCTGCCTGGATTTGCGCCTTTCACGCTCTCGGAATATTTGGGAATTGGGAGTTTGGAAAAGGCCCGGGCAGCGGGAGCGGGGAGCAGCCTGCGGAATGTGGAGGCAGCGGAGGATTGGGAATTACCTTGGGAATTACCTTGGGAATTACCTTGGGAATTACCTTGGGATTGATTTATTTTGGGATTCACCTTGGGAATTACCTTGGGAATTACCTTGGGAATTACCTTGGGAATTACCTTGGGATTGATTTATTTTGGGATTTACCTTGGGAATTACCTTGGGAATTACCTTGGGAATTACCTTGGGAATTACCTTGGGATTTACCTTGGGATTCACCTTGGGAATTACCTTGGGATTTCACCTTGGGATTGATTTATTTTGGGATTTATCTTGGGAATTACCTTGGGAATTACCTTGGGATTGATTTATTTTGGGATTTACCTTGGGAATTCACCTTGGGAATTACCTTGGGAATTACCTTGGGAATTACCTTGGGATTTACCTTGGGATTCACTTTGGGAATTACCTTGGGATTTACCTTGGGATTCACTTTGGGAATTACCTTGGGATTTACCTTGGGATTCACTTTGGGAATTACCTTGGGATTGATTTATTTTGGGATTTATCTTGGGAATTACCTTGGGAATTACCTTGGGATTGATTTATTTTGGGATTTACCTTGGGATTTACCTTGGGAATTACCTTGGGAATTACTTTGGGATTCACTTTGGAATTCACTTTGGGAATTACCTTGGGAATTACCTTGGGATTCACCTTGGGATTTACCTTGGGAATTACTTTGGGATTTACTTTGGGATTTACCTTGGGAATTACCTTGGGATTGATTTATTTTGGGATTTACCTTGGGAATTCACTTTGGGATTCACCTTGGGAATTCACCTTGGGATTCACCTTGGGAATTACTTTGGGATTTACCTTGGGAATTCACCTTGGGAATTACCTTGGGAATTCACCTTGGGATTCACCTTGGGAATTACCTTGGGAATTCACCTTGGGAATTACCTTGGGAATTCACCTTGGGATTCACCTTGGGATTGATTTATTTTGGGATTTACCTTGG